GATGAAAACCAGCTTTAAGCAACGGCGTAGTCGAACGGTACACACTCGGTAAGTAATCCTATAATTTTTTGTTTATAGCATAGTTTATACAGATTATTCCCAAAAAATTATACGTATTTTGGAAATGTTGAGTGGAATTAGTCTAGAATCGGTTAATTTTATAGAAGAAAACCTTTCAAACAGCCTTAGTCCTTAAAGTTTCCACCTATCGGGCTGCGATTGGCTCGTGTATTTAATCATTCCTACAACGTACTTTTCGGTTAGCGTGGAACGTATCTAAGCGTTATAGGGGGGTCTACTGTACTAATTTAGATGTGTTTTTTGCATTTTTGATTGTGTTTTAATAGGGTATGTCAAGAGAATGTACAGTACACTGAGAAGGAATTTTTCGAAATTCCCTCCCGCGGGGAGTGTTATACATTTATAATAGATACATTTTGAGCCACAGCAACGCGTAGCTGGGTACAGCTAGTTTAGAATAAAATAAATAGCTATTCTAAATAATTTGCCTGAGGAAGATGGTAATGCACTGAAAATACTTGTTTTTGTACAGGTAACCCCCGTATAACACGGTAGTTATGTTCCAAAAAATTGCCTTGTTATGCAAAACAAAGAACTAGTACAAAAAGGAGGGTTAGGTTCCAAAAATTAAAAGTCATGCTACTATATTTTCATAATTAAGATAAACATCTTTATTAAAATTTTCTTAAGTGATATATATTAATATAAATTAAACAATGTTTTCTTTGTCATCACTAAAAGCACTATTAACTGAGAGCGTTTTATTTTTGGCAAGTTATCGTTATCCTCTGAGCATTTTTCTGCATTATTTTCAGATTCATGCTTTACCTTTTGCAAAAAGTGTATGTAATTTTAGATTGCTTGCTTCTAGTTAAAAGATCTTTATAAATTTCCTTATATGGTGCTAAGCACTTATGGAATAAGGGAAAAACATCTGGCAACACCAGAAGCAGAAGCGTCGAGATATGGCAAAATTGAAACAATTTTCGCGAAGAACCATGTGTATGGAGAAGAGAAAAGAAAATTTACACACTGAAGTACTAATAGTTCACGAAAATAATAATTTTCGTGAACTATTAGTACTTAAGTATGTAAAAATTTATTACATTTCATGTTGTACAAGGGTTTTGCCCGTTTCTCGAACCGTGTCAGAGTGAATCCGTGCTATAAAAATACCGTGTTATATGGGGGAAGGTACCAATTCTCAAACCGTGTTAGAGTGAATCCGTGCTATAGAAGTGCTGTGTTATATGGAGGTTACCTGTATTTTGTGTTAAATAAATGGAATTTTTCAGTGGCATGTAATCTGTGGAAGCTGTGGAAGTCCCACTTCCCTTGTATTTTCTAAAATATAAATACATACTGTCCAATTATTTTCATAAACAAGTTCTTATATCTTTGTTTCATGTCAATGTATCTATTTTAGAATTAAAACAAACTGTTTATTTTTGTCATTTCCAGTATCTGTTTATAATTTTTATGGAAACACAGCTTCCCTATCATCAAATGTCACCACACGCCACTGGAATTTTTAATGCCAAAAGATAGTTTATTGCATTTATTGTGAAATTAGTGTCAAGTATACTTTTAATTTAGGAAAAGATAAAATTGTTTAATATAGACAAACAAAAATAAATATGATAAAATCATTTCTATAATTTTGTATTTTAGTTATTATGTAGTATTTCAGTAAATATTTATCAGAAATTTATTACAAGTTTATAATTTCAATTTTTGAATCTCTCCTAATATTTATCCATATAACCTTTATTAAATTTTTTAATTGTGTAATCACAGTTAAATATAAGTTAAAAATTTAAGAAGTTTAATGTATGTTCCAAACAGCTATCTAAATTGAATATTTTGAAATATAAAAATATTTCTAAGTTTAATATTTATTACGACCAAGTTAAAATATAATAAAATAATTTTTTAAACAAGTTTCTTCTGAGTTATTCTTGGTCTTGGGTGATTGTTGGAATTGGAAAGATATTGCAATCATCTAAAACCTCTTTTAAGTAGTAGTCAGAATTTATCTTTATTGTCTCATTTAATAATTAATAATGAAATTGTAGAGAAAGATTATAAATGTAAATAAAACATTTGAAAATGATCAGAAAAAATAAATACAATGGGGTATTTTTCATGTTTGATATTTATATGTTATTTGATAAAGTTTCCGTCAAATGGCAAATTTTTCTTTGTAAATAAAGACACAGCCATTCCAAAAATTCAGCTGAGTAGTCTATAAAGGAAGGTCTGGTTGTCTAAAGTTTTATTCTATAACACATAATAAAATAGTGGTTTTCAAAAGAATATTTGCAACGACTGTGTCTTTATTTACAAAGAAAAATTTATATGTTAGTTGTTTATGTATCCACTGGTTCCAAAACATTCATATTGCTTTCAATGGTGAAATACTTTATTTATGTCTAAATTTGCTATGATGTTTCAATTTATATGATTTCAATGAAAATTTTGATTACTTGACAAAATTTTTTATTTAATAGTAAAACTTGTTAAAAATTATTTGTACAATAATTATATATATAAATTATAAATTTACCTTTGGTAATTCAATATGGCTGTTCAGATATCCACTGCTACGTAAAGTATCATCAACATAACCACAATTGTCTGAGGGACACTTACTCTCTAATTTAGTTTTCCTGCCACATTTTTGGTATAAAATATATATCACAATTCCTGTAAAATTAAAATTTTTTTAAAACATATTTTAAAAATTCTTCTGGGATTTACATAATTTGATATGAAATTAATCTGGGTTCTCATTCTTTTCTTTGAAACCACATTTTTTCCTATCAATTTTTCTCTATAAAGTTATAAATTTTGTTTTAATGCTTGGCATGTTAAAAAAAAAAAGCAAAATTTAATATCTCTGTAATAAAAAATTGGATTTCACATTAAAATCATAGTACAGGACATTGGAACTTTTATATGCTTTCAACATTTTCATCCTTTAAAAATTTTCAGGAACAGCTAGGTTAAATTAGTTGATTCAGCAAATTTTGGGCTTATCAACCCACACTCAGCAGAGAGAATAATTACTAAAATCATCACCAAACATCTTTGGCTGCTGAGATTCATTTATTTGCCATACTCTAACATTTTCAGCCTAATGCATAAATCATCCTCAGGTACCACATTTTTGGAACTTCAGTTACAAACCATACAAATACAATTATATTCTATTTTGTAATTCCAAAAATATGGCACCTGGATGAGCCTATGTATTAGGCTGAAAACAATGTGTAGTAAATAAGTATGTCTGAGCAGCCAAAGGTGTTAGGTAATGATTTTAATAATTTTGGGTTTCTCACAGATTCAAATCTGGTGATTGTTTTTCCCCCACTTCTGATATACAATACAAATAATTTATATATAGTTAACATGCCTTATCCTGTATTTAGAGAGCTTCTGAGACTTTTTATCACATATCAAAAATTCAAATTAATTTCACATTAAAAATAATGTACAACATTATTCCAAATAATCAGATGACCTGCCAGATTTCTTTTAATCAGAACATTTTAAGTGTAATTAATAATCTAAAACAGCGTTTCTCAAAGTGGGCAATAACGCTCCCTTGTGGGCAATGAGTAAATCTAGGGGGGTGCTGGAGGCAGGGTATTGAACAGTGACCAAAGGCAAAATTGGGGTACATGAAAGCCATTCCCTTTCCTCTGTTAAACTGATAAGAGGAAACATTGCATTTAATGGTTTCCAGATGTTGAGAANTATTATTACTAAGTAGTAATATTTCAAATAAAATAATAATGCCGACAGGCAGTGTTAATATTATCTTAAAAAAAAATATGCCATCATTATATAAGAAAAATTCAGAAACAATAGTAAAAATTAAGTCTTTACTTTAAATAATTAAAAGATTAAAATTTATTGAACATTTTATTGTTTTTCTTACAATTGAATGGCTTGGGTGCAAAAGGTATAAGCCACACAAAGAAGAATTTAAGAAATATCACATTTAAATCTTTAAACAAATCTTAAAGTTGATATACTTGATAATAAAAAGCCAGTTTACAGTAAAACTGGCTTTTTATTATTGTTTTGCCAAGAGATGCAAATACTCTCTCATCAACAACAACATTTTTAACATACTTTTTTTTACACTTAAACTGTAGCTAATAGGTCTAGTAGTGGCTAAAAATAAAAAATACCAATCACAATTTTTTCAGCTTGCCCCTATAGCCACCAATGACTTATTTTTAGCTATGGGACTGGGCAAGCATTACCATCTTGTATAGTTTGTAGCAAAACTTTTTGCAGGTTTCAAGCTTTTAAAAACATTTGGAAACAAATTATCCAATGTGTGTTAAAAAAGTTATTATGTTTTTAAAAAGTCCATCTAAATCCCTCAAATAATTTAAAAAAAACAAAACAACACTTAAACTTTGATAATTGGTATCAGTAAAAGAGTGGGCAAATGCCAACTACAGCAGACATGTAGACAACATCCTCAAAAAACTAATTGTCTGTGCAAAATGGAGACTTGAGAGCACTGTAAAACAATTTTGATACAATTTAAAGTTTTTGATATCGTTTTAACAATGGTCATAATATATAGTATACATCACCATTATTGTATCTCTTGTGCAATAGTATCAGGAAATTTTGAAAAACTCAGGAATTTAAACATTTTCATAAATAATAGTCCCTTAAATGATAGACTATTTCTATAAGATCTGAGAAATTTCAAGATTTAAACTGTAATTTTTTTCCTAACAAATACATTACTCTAAAACATAAAAATCATTATAAAGATTTAAAAAAATCATTTCAAAAGTTTTCTGGCAACATTTATAAAAAACTTTTATAGAACAAATGATCAATTATTAAAAAGAATGGTCAATTAATATAAATTAGTATGTAAGTCAACATAAATTAATTGCTCTCTCTGTCCTGAAATAGTTATCACATTTTGAAATTTTTCTAAAGAATTTTTGGCAAATAATTGATTATTATTGATACTTTGGCTAATGAAGACTTATATGTTTTTGCTTCAGACCAATCAAAAACATCAGTTGTTTTTATTCATTTGTTAAAGCAGGCTTACAGGCAATCACAGAAAAATAAACAGCTTTAAAAGTGCATCTACTGTCATTGTAGAAATATTTAAAAAGTTATAAAAGTGGATAAAATGGATAAAAACTCAAAAATGAGTAACAGTACTCATAATGCTGTTTGAAATTTTTCTACAATGCTATAAAAATGAAAAACTGGAATACGGTACTATAATTCTGCATCAACAGAATTTAAATATCATCTCCTAACAATTTCCCAATTATGGAAACAAGCAACGCATTCAGAAGAATTGTGAGGTTACATAATCTTAATCACAGATATCAAGAAGAAAAAAGTTTATGTATGTCAATGTGCAAACTTGGAATGAAACAGAACTCATTCATATATATGGTAAAAACTATTTATAGAGAGAACTATGCCCTTACAATATCTATTGTGATCACACAATAGTATTTACAGTAGATTGTATTACAAATATCCAGGATCTGTGATTGTTAGATAGGGAGAAGAACTGTCAAATCCAGTCAAAGTTCATCAAAGGAAAAGGGAGTCAGTAACAGCAAAGGGCAGAGTGGGTTGGTTGGAAATAATTTCAGTGAAACATGTAATGGGCTGGATAGAAGCTGAACAAGAGACTTGATGAAACTAGAAAAAAAAAGCAGTTTCTTGTAACTGTACAGAAAAGGAGCTCATCAGCTTCCCATAATTATATCAATAGTAGTGCCCTATATCTTCAGGGCTTAAGTTTTTATTGATTTGATCTTTGATCTTTTAACATTCTAATTGGTCTTGAATATTCTTCCTCATAACTTGATTGGTCTCTCACCTGTTTCTAAGAGAAATTAGAGACCTCATGCTGCAAGAAAAGATTGATGTCAACAACTAAGTTGATGCCAAATTCAATTCTAATTGGAAATGTTTGATGTTTATTGATCTTGGGACCTTCATCTTAAATCAGATGGTGTATATACATCTCCTTGACAGTTGTAAAGTTCCAACTTATTTCTAAATTTGACAGGATGTAAACAATTCAATAAAAAATACATTATTTTACAAAATTATTAGATGAGGGGTGTTAAGATGAGTGTCTGGACACCTGCAGGATCCCACAGAATGATGATGTTAGATACATTATTATAAAAGCTACAGAAGTAATGTTATGAAATTATCCATATAAACATAGAAAGATTGAGATATGTGAAAGATCTAACTAAAATTGAATGTAACCCTAAAGCTGAATTAAAAGCCTAAAATTGTATCACAATTAAAATGTTTAGTTATTGTGTTAATTTAATCTTTATCTATTTTAAATAAATACAAGTTAATGTTTCCATTAAAAATTTTTGTTTCCAATATTTTTTATAAATGTGACAACTATTCAAATTTCACCATTCTTTGTACTCTTTATTCTTATTTCATTTACTTTATTTTATAATAAATTAGGATATTTTCATTTGTAATCAAAACATTAAATATTTATCAAGTTTTCTGACTTTCCTCAAAAACTTATAAAATTTAAATTTTCCACAAATTAATATAATGTAAATGAATTGAAATAAAAAGCTGACAGTGATATTTAAAAGATCACAAAAAGACAAATTCGCTTAAAAGAAAAAAAAAGGTTATTTTATGTTTATATTACATGGCATATTTAAATATGACATTCTATTAAAAATATTAATTAAATTATTTTAGTTTGCAAACTAAAATTATTATAAATCAAATAATTCTGAGACTAACTGAGATCTGTAATAAGTATTATATTAAAGCTAAATAAATTTAATATTTAAATTTAGAATTTCAAATAATATTAATATTAATTCAAATAATTAATACTTAAATTTTAAATCCAAAAAAAATTTTTTTTCTGGTATAAAGCTAAAAAGATAATTATTTGGTTTTTAAATAATACTTAGATTTAAAAAATTCAATATAATAAATATTTGTGTATCTGTATGCTAGACTACACATACATGCACACAAACACCAAAATTTAATGTAACAATTATTACTGATTGTTTTATTCTATCAATTTTATATTTCTTTTTATTAATAAGGTTATTATTATTTATTATCAACCTTACTAATAAAAATAAGTGTGAAACTGATAGAATAAAACAGTCAGCAATATTTGTCATATTAAATTTTGGTTTGTATTGTGTAAAGTCCAGCATGCCATTCAGATACACAAATGATAATTTTTAAAAATTAATAATAATAATAAGTATGTTTCATTTATTAAATTTCTTACCAATTAACAACAATACTGCAATTAAAACAGCAATGACAACACCTGCAATTGCTCCACTTGTCAAGCCAGTTTCATCATTGTTTATTGAAGAAAGATTATTTATTAAGGATTTTGTTGGAATAATTTCAAAATCACTTAAAGTTGTCATGTTTATAATTGAATCATTCAATAATGTATTGTTTATTCCGGATGATAAAATATCCACAGTCAATGAATTATCTTCAAGTAATGGACTAGTAATTGACTGGTTACTTGCATTTAATGATGATGTATAATTTTCAAATGTAGATAAATGTGCTTTGTTGTTGTTCATTTGTTTTATATGACTAGCATTGTTTTCCTTTCCTAAATTGAATCCTTCATTATTAGTAAAATCATTTAGAATTTTTTTCTGTCTTTGCAATCCTGAATTACCACTTTTTATTTTAATCTCCATGCTATCATTTTTTACATTTGTTTTGTTAGACACTTCTTTATCACTGTTTTTATTTTCTGAATCAGATTGTAACTGTGTTGAAAATAATTTTCTCCTAAAAACTTTTGTAAAATTTCTTTCCTTTTCATTATTCAGTTCAATATAATTTTTAGTAACAAGAAATTCAACACCTGACAGAAACGAAATATTTTTCAATAATTTTTGTTTGTTTGATTGTCTATTTTCAGTTGATACTACTTCATTTGATTTGGTTCTTTCAATCAAATAAACTGGAATAGGACTAGCACTTTGGATGAAGTAAATCATTAACATAAATATCCAAGGAGTAGCTGAAAATAAAGTATTTTAAAATATTTTAGAAATAATCTTAAGTATTGAAATTAAAATAGCAAAACATTAAATTAAAATGAATAAACTTTTGTTTTTATTCAATTTATAACAATTTTTTCTTTTTAACTGAAATTTCAAGTTATTCTTAAATAAAAATACTTTTATGCTTTAAAAAAAAATGATATTTAAATAACTGAATTCAACATTACAAGAACCATGAAAAAAATTTTAAATGGGCAGATTCTTAACTGTAAATTAAAAAATTAATACCATATTTTAAAAATATTTAACTTATATTTATAAACATTTCTCTTGAAATAATAATTATTCAAATCAAAAGTAATTAAAAAAACATAATTTTTTAAACTTTTAATTTAATACTGTAACTTATAATAATTAACAAGTTCACTGCTAGTATAAAAATTGATTTTCTCCAATTTGTGCTTAAGTTTAGAATTGTAAATAAAATATAAATGCATTTAGTATCTCTAACTCAAATTTTAACCTTTACCAAAGGAGATTTAATTCTACACTTATGAATTAAGATAAACTTTAATATCTTTTTTATTTTTTACAAATTTAAATAAAAAATCATAACTATTGAATTCATATTTCTGTTAATATCAAAGGTTTTAATTTAAATAACAATTTGTACTTTAAAACATAATCAATATTAACATATTTTAATATTCTATTTGCTGAAGAAAGATCACAAAGTAAAATATTTTTATTGTTTTTATTACATATGGAAAGATTGCTATAATCATCATCAATATAATTTACATTGATGACAATTACAATGATTACAGTAAGTAAATAATACTAAAGACAATTTAACAGTTCCCATAAACTATTAAAAAAGTTATTAAGAGTTTTATGAATTACACAATTCTCAAAATCAGTTTTGCATCAACTTTACATAAATTAATTTTGTTTGGACTATTATATTTATTCTGTTGTTTTCGTTAATTGTTAAGATCTTAATTGTATTGAATATATGTTAAAAGTTTGAAATAGAAGTTTTTTCTTTTTTTTATTTGATGTTAAGTCTATAAATTAAGTTAGCAATTAAAAATTATTTTATAATTCATGTGTAAAAAAAAACATTAAAAATTTCATTACTTTTGTACTTGTTTTAAGTTTAATAATATGTACTGTTAATTACAATATATTTCTAAAATTTCAATAATGTATATATACNTAAAATAGCAAAACATTAAATTAAAATGAATAAACTTTTGTTTTTATTCAATTTATAACAATTTTTTCTTTTTAACTGAAATTTCAAGTTATTCTTAAATAAAAATACTTTTATGCTTTAAAAAAAAATGATATTTAAATAACTGAATTCAACATTACAAGAACCATGAAAAAAATTTTAAATGGGCAGATTCTTAACTGTAAATTAAAAAATTAATACCATATTTTAAAAATATTTAACTTATATTTATAAACATTTCTCTTGAAATAATAATTATTCAAATCAAAAGTAATTAAAAAAACATAATTTTTTAAACTTTTAATTTAATACTGTAACTTATAATAATTAACAAGTTCACTGCTAGTATAAAAATTGATTTTCTCCAATTTGTGCTTAAGTTTAGAATTGTAAATAAAATATAAATGCATTTAGTATCTCTAACTCAAATTTTAACCTTTACCAAAGGAGATTTAATTCTACACTTATGAATTAAGATAAACTTTAATATCTTTTTTATTTTTTACAAATTTAAATAAAAAATCATAACTATTGAATTCATATTTCTGTTAATATCAAAGGTTTTAATTTAAATAACAATTTGTACTTTAAAACATAATCAATATTAACATATTTTAATATTCTATTTGCTGCAGAAAGATCACAAAGTAAAATATTTTTATTGTTTTTATTACATATGGAAAGATTGCTATAATCATCATCAATATAATTTACATTGATGACAATTACAATGATTACAGTAAGTAAATAATACTAAAGACAATTTAACAGTTCCCATAAACTATTAAAAAAGTTATTAAGAGTTTTATGAATTACACAATTCACAAAATCAGTTTTGCATCAACTTTACATAAATTAATTTTGTTTGGACTATTATATTTATTCTGTTGTTTTCGTTAATTGTTAAGATCTTAATTGTATTGAATATATGTTAAAAGTTTGAAATAGAAGTTTTTTCTTTTTTTTATTTGATGTTAAGTCTATAAATTAAGTTAGCAATTAAAAATTATTTTATAATTCATGTGTAAAAAAAAACATTAAAAATTTCATTACTTTTGTACTTGTTTTAAGTTTAATAATATGTACTGTTAATTACAATATATTTCTAAAATTTCAATAATGTATATATACATATCTGGATCACTAAACATCTGGATCATCATACGTAATCCTGATAACTCATATTTTTTGTTAATTTCTTAAAATTAATTGTAATAACTTTCATTAATTTCAAGTTATGATTTTTGATAATTCAAATAATTTATTGTTATTTTTTTTAGGTTTATAATCATTTTATTTTTATTTTATATATATTTAAAACAATAACAAAAAAGAAAAAAAACAAAGGTCTTTTATTTTTAATACAATTACAATTGCTTCTATATACATAATACTATATTGTAATATTACATAATAGATATTATCTATCAATGAAATGAAAGAATGTAGAACATCTGTATTTGATTTGATATCTGTTAATAATATAATTCATTAATTGAAAAATATTATCATAACTGTAATCTATTAGTGAATCTAAATATTATATTTAGAGCATATTAAAAAGTTTTTCTATTTTCATATAAATTTTAAACCAAATTATTGTTTAAATAAAATAAAATAAAAAAATCTAGTAAATTATTGTCCATCTTCGAGTTTTTTTTTTTTTTTACTATATTTACAAAAGAATAGAATGTTTGACAGATTAATTTAAAAATTTAATTATGATATTTTATCATAAATTATTTGAATTTACATATGCATTAAACAGATGCAAAACGTATCTTATTTGCACAAGGACTTCTACATAAAATTGTAATCCTCACTTTTCTACAAAAATTATAGAAAACTATAAAAAAATATAGAATTTGGTATATAGTCATTCTTCATTTAATTATGTATTTAAATAATACAAAATAAAATAAAAAGGCAAAAGTATTATTATATAATCAGAGAGAAATGTCAGTATTTTCGTACAGAAGAGTTCCAATTATTGAAGGTAATATGAAATCAAGAGTATCTTGGATAATCAAAAATTTAGAGTATAAAAAATGCTGGATAAATTTTTAAATAAACTGGATTTAGATGCTTTAGCGTATACAATGTACTATTTTTAGGTTATACCTAGTTATTGAACATACAGTAAAACATTTTAAAATTTTATTTACAACTGTATTTATTAAAGAAATGTAAACTAAAATTGCAATTAAAATTTCTTTAATCTTTTTTAAAATTAATACTAACATGAGAAATTACCAGAATTCTTTTTAAAACTTCTACAGCCATTATTGAATACCATATATTATCCAGCTAAGATTCATGAAATAAATTGAACTGTGCAACATTTCTTGTCTGTATTGACAAAGTTGTCTTCCATAGTTTATTTCAGATGAAGTGGAATCTCAGTTTATCAATTAACAACATGTAAAAAAGTATAAATTTAAATTTAAAATACATTATAAAATATTCAGATGAATACTGAAATACTTGATAGAAAAAAAATGTATAAACATAGAAATCAAAAGTTAACAGAATAAATCATCAAAAATATTAAGGAAAAATCAATACAGTCTGTATATAGTGCAGTGAATAAAGTAAAAACTTAGTAAAATCATTTTAAATAAGCAATTATTTATTAAGACATCATCACAATACTAGGCTGCAATTTTTAATCATATTTTTAATTAATTTAAAATAAATGCTCTCCACCTCAAAGTAGTAGTGGCTTGCCTCTGTACATCATACTTTCCTGCTAGCAAAGTATGATATACATTTTTCCCCTGAAGGTAGTTAATAGATAACCACGCTGGTTATCTATTAACTACCTTCAAGGGAAAAATTTTGAATTGAAATAATGTCTTAAAGTTTGCATCAGAAGTTCATATAGAGTTAATTGGGTCTTCTTACCCCTAACCTTTCCATATCTGGTCTTGGATTTCATCTATCTAACTCTGTTCTCGAGATTAAGGAAAGACAGACAAATGAACAACAATGTGAATTTATAGGTCTACAATTTTTTTCAAATTGCAACCCAATTAAATTGATATTTCAAGTTAAGATATCAATTTAAAAAGTTAGTTAAAATCTCATAAAAAATTAATCAATTATCAAAAATGCATAGATGGCAAGAGATAGATGACGGTTAATGAAATTCATTAGGAAGATTGTCAAAATAAATTAAGGGCTGTCCATAAATTACAAATCCATTTTTCTTGAAATTTTTACTCCTCCCTCTTGTCCCAATATGTCCAAGTTTCCATAACCTCTCCTTGCCTTTCAGATGTCCAATAAAACTCAACTTCCCTTAAAACCTTTATCACTTTATGAATGATAGAAACTATGAAGTAGAAATGAAACATACAAGAAATTCTGAAATAAATGCTTAAACTGTATAAAATTTAATGAAATAAATGGATGTCCACTGAAGCTCAACTCCTTTCTTCCCCCTTGTCTGACTTTGACTTCTCTTGACCCCTTCCCAGTGTGGACGTCATTTATGAACAGCCCCTTAATGTATATTTTTGATTTTTAAAAAATATCAAAAATTGTAATAATGTATTAATTTTAAAAAATTGTTAAGAATTAGATATAATGAAATTAGTGTTATAAACATAAACATAACAATTAAAAGTAAACTCTGTTAAAACTGAAAGATAAGTATTTTCTAAAATAGATTGACTACTTTTATATTGAAAAAGTTTGTTATAGTTTCTATTATAATTTAAGAATGCAGATTGTTTTTATGTTGAATATAATATATTGTTGATTAATTGAAGATTTAAA